CACCATCATCAGCCTCACCACCACCATCATCATCATCAGATTCCTCATCCTCATCCTCATCCTCCTCATCCTCATCCTCACCCTCATGTTAATCGGCCCCGCTGCCATCCCCTTTCTGCCTGCCCTCGCTCGGTCCGCCGCTGTGGGGTCCCTCGAGAGCACGGTGCGGGCGTGGCGGGCTGGGGTGGTGGGCGGCGGGGGCGGGCGGCGGGCCATGCGCGAGCGCGCCGCCCCCGCTGACCCCTGCCGTCGCTGGTGCCCCTGCGCGCCCGCCCGCCCTGATCCATCGGGTGCGGGCTCCAGCTGCGGCCACGCGAGCGACGCCTAGAAAACGGGGTCGTCTGCACCGACAGCGGCGCGCAAGCTGCCCGCGTAAGGTCGCGCGTGAGCGCCCTCGTCTCCATTGTGGCGTGCCGCGCCGGCGGCCCGCGTAAGCCGCGGCGTAAGGTCGCTGTGTCATCTCGCGTGAGACCCGTTTTTGATCGTCGCTCGTGTGTCTTGGGATGCTCGGGTGTGGCTAGGAGTGCCCTTGGCCCAAGGTGCCCCCAAGAATTTCCACGGAGGTCCCCACGGACCCCTCGCGAGGCCCGGAGGGCCCCAGGGGCTCCAAAATTGAGCGAAAAGCTGGGGGCACCTTGAGCCAGGAGCATTTCTAGCAGCACCCGTTGGTGTGGACAACTCCTTCCGCCACTTGCGGAGCAGGCGACCTGTACGACGCCGGTGCGCAATCCTGCGTGGCAGGCGGACCCTCTTGGAGGCGACTGCGGTCCTCCCCCGATGCCACCGAGTGCCTCGCGCCCTCCGTCGCAGCCTCCCGCCGCTTCGGTGCGGGGACCCTCCCGCCGCGCCGCCTCCTGCGTCGCCAGGCACAGTTGGCGGGCGGGATGCCCAGGTCTGCGTCCGGCTGGGCTCGAGCCCGCCGTGTCTTCGCCGTCCTCTGCGCCCGCGGGCCGCTGCGGCTGCTCATGGCGGGAGTCTTCCGCCTCTGAGTGCTCGCCCTCCTCTCCCCCCCGCGGCCACCCTGCCATTCTTGTTCCCTCCTCCTGCATGCCGGCCAATTCGCTTTGTAGTGCCCCTGCATCGCTGCCACGCTGGAGCGGATTGTCCCGCCCCGTTGCCGACGGGAAAAGTACCGTGTCTTCTCTCTGGTGTTGTTGGTGTTTCCTCCCTATGTGAGTTTGGCTTGGGACGCTGCACTCGCAAGGAGATCCAGTGACTGTGCGATTTCGCTTCAGTCTGACATAACCTAAGCGCTTTCATCATTTCTATACCCGAATGCGAGTCGGAGCATGTGACATTGTGAATGTGCGCGTTATAGTCCTCATACGACGTATACATCACCCGATCATCTCCTCATCGCCATCCGTTCCCCCCTGCGCACCCCCTCGCTCGTTGCTGCAACCTCCTGCCGCAGCTGCAGCGTAGGATGCGCTGACTTCGGACGTGCTCGAGTATGGAGACCTCTGCATCTTCACGCCCTGAACTCGCTTCTTTCCTGGAAACCCCGAGGCTGGCGACACATACGATTGTTCTGGCTCGTGCACTTACGTGCCACCATTATTACTTATCCTCCTCTTCCGCTTTCTCATCTTCCTCCTCCTCCTCCTCCTCCTCCTCCTCCTCCCCCTCCTCCTCCTCCTCCGCCTCATCATCATCCTCCGCCTCCCTTTTCATAACAATAACCCGAGCAATCCTCCCGCTTGTTCTCCTCATCATCAGCGCAATCATGCTCAGGAGTGTCCAGTGCCGACGTCGCCTGGCGCAGGCGTCAATGGAAGGCGTGGTCATGGAAATCTGGAAAGTAAAATGAGCGTGCGCGGCGCTAGGGCGAGAGCCACACCCGTGCACCCTTCGGAACTTCCAAAAATATTTAATAAGTGATGGTGGCGAAGTTTTGGACCGCCTTGCCAGCACGCCATGCGATGCGACGAGGAGGGGACGCTTGCGAGGAAGGGGAGGAACAAAAGGAGGGGGGGAGGGGAGCGGAGGCGGAGGAGGAGGAGGAGGAGGAGGAGGAGGGATAGGGGTGCCGGAGGACGGAGGGGGGAGGAGGAGCACAAGGAGGAGGGCGGCGGCGACGACGGCGACGGCGACGACGACGCGAGGAGCTCTCCCGCGAGTACGGGAGCTTCGACGACCTCCTCGGCAAGAGGAGCGCCTCGGCTGGCCTCTACCACCAGGCGCGGCCGAGGGGCGCGCCGGGGCCGATGAGTCGGGGAGCGAGGCCCTGTGGCCCTTGGCATCGCTCGGACGTGTGTGTGTTTTTTCTCGGCGAGGACCATCGAGGAGCATCCTGAATCATCGAGCAACAAAAAGTAGCCTGATGGACCCAACCATGTGCAGTTGTGAGTACCGCAGTTGTGAATATCGTCCTCGGTGGAGCTCCTCGTGGGGCCACGAACTGTGTGAGGGGCCTGCCACAGTGGTGGTGGTGGGGAACCGCATGCGGGCACCCCCACTGGGGCCTGCGGTGGAGCTCCCTGTGAAGCCACGAAACGCTGCCCTGGGTGGGGGAACCGCTTGCGGGCGCCCCCACTGGGGCCTACGGTGGAGCTCCCTGTGGGGCTACGAAAATGCTGCCCTGGGTGGGGGAACCGCATGCGGGCACCCCCGCTGGGGCCTGCGGTGGAGCTCCCTGTGAAGCCACGAAACGCTGCCCTGGGTGGGGGAACCGCATGCGGGCACCCCCACTGGGGCCTGCGGTGGAGCTCCCTGTGGGGCCACGAAACGCTGCCTTGGGTGGGGGAACCGCATGGGGCCTTCGGTGGAGCTCCCTATGGGGCCACGAAGCGCTGCCCTTGGGTGGGGGAACCGCATGCGGGCACCCCCACGGGGGCCTTCGGTGGAGCTCCCTCGGGGACCACGAAACGCTGCCCTGGGTGGGGGAACCGCATGCGGGCACCCCCACGGGGGCCTTCGGTGGAGCTCCCTATGGGGCCACGAAACGCTGCCCTGGGTGGGGGAACCGCATGCGGGCACCCCCACTGGGGCCTTCGGTGGAGCTCCTTATGGGGCCACGAAACATTGCCCTGGGTGAGGGAACGCGTGCGGGCACCCCCACTGGAGCCCTCGGTGGAGCTCCCTGTGGGGCTGCGAAACGCTGCCCTGGGTGGGGGAACCGCATGCGGGCACCCCCACTGGGGCCTTCGGTGGAGCTCCCTATGGGGCCACTGGGGCCCACGGGGGGTGGGGAGGAGGGGGGAGGAGGAGGAGAGGAAGGAAGGAAGGAACGCGGGGCGCTGTCATTTCAAAATGAGGACCCAACACCACAGGATGGTTGTGAAGAACACGCACGAAACCGAAAAATACACGGGGAATGGACGTCCGAGCGATGGCGAGTCTTGACTTGGCCTCCCGTCGCCTCCGGAGGCCTCCGGGGACCTCAACGGTCAGGAGTTTGAGTTCCTCGGAGAAGGAAAAGCTGCACAAGCATGTTTCGGAGCTCCGCGCGGATTCCTTGGATCGGCGCTGGGGCCCCCCGAGCACCTCTACGGTCAGGAGCTTTAGCTCCTCGAAGAAGGAGAAAAAACGCATGCACTCAAAATTCGAGAGTTCCACGCGGATTCCTTGGATCGGCGATGGGGCCCCCCTGGCGGCGCTCGCGTCGCCCTCCTTGGCGCACGCAGCGCGCCAGGAGGGCACCAACACTGATCTAATAAAATCGGCGTGGAGCTCCGAAAGTCTATGTGTATGCAGCTTGCTGTTCCTCTAGCTTGGCGTGTCGCTCCTCCGGTTCTGGACCACCACGCTTCGGCACGACACGCTATCCACGCCCGGGCCCCCGAGCGTCAACGTTCCCAGCTTTTCGCTCGTCCCAGCCCGTCGCCCCGCGGAGCGGAGCGGCGCCCCATCCGCTTGCAAGGCACACAGTCGGGCTGCTGAAGTCAGGAGCGCCACATGAGGAACGACTTGGCCTCCTCTGGCACCCGAGGAGCCTCGGTGCACGAGGAGGGCTGGAGGAACAGCCTGAAGGAGCAGCGAGCCCCTCTCGACCCCAGAGTGGTCTCCTGCGTCAGCGTCTTGACTGCGCAGCGTTTCGCCAGGGCCGCCACCGCGCCCGCAGGGACGACCGCACAAGTTGCTGGAGGGGCCGAGGGCTCTCGGGGGGCTCGAGAGGCTCTCGAGAGGCTCTCGAGAGGCTCTCGAGAGGCTCTCGAGGGCTCGAGGGGCTCGAGGGGCTCGAGGGGCTCGAGGGGCCGAGGGGCTCGAGGGGCTCGAGGGGCTCGAGGGGCTCGAGGGGGCTCGAGGGGCCGAGGGGCCAAGGGGCTCGAGGGGCTCGAGGGGCTTCCAGGACCGAGGGGCTCGAGGGGCTCGAGGGGGCTCGAGGGGACTCGAGGGGGCTCGAGGGGGCTCGAGGACCGAGGGGCTCGAGGGGGCTCGAGGGGCTCGAGGGGCTCGAGGGGCTTCCAGGACCGCCTCACGGCGCCTTTGCAGGCCTCGGGGGACGTTCAGAGACCTTTGGAGACTGGGAGGCTTCGAGCAGGAAATCGGCTACAGGATTGATTTACCCAGGATTGATTTCTTCGTCGAGGGGTCTACGAAAAATACGTCGACTGCCCCGTGGATCTACGAAAAGCCGATGTATGTTTCGTAGATTTGGCGGAAAAAACAGTTGTGGGGTGCATCAGTTCCGTGACGTTGGAGACGTCAGACGGGGCTCTACCACCAGGCGTGGGGAGCGCCCGGGCTGCCCAAAAAAGGCATGCCGCCGCAGGCCTGTGAAGGCAGGATGGGACCCCTCACCTCCGAATGGGCAACGGCTCCTCATCCGCCTTCTCCTTGGCCGGCAGAAGGAGGAGGAGGAGGAGGAGGAGGAGGAGGAGAAGGAGGGGAAGGAGGAGGGGAAGTTGGAGGGGAAGGTGGGAGGCGAGAGAGCCGGGAGGGAGGCGGCAGGAGGAGTACCGCGAGAGCGCCCGGAGGTCGTCCGCTCCAAGCTGCTGTGGGTGTTCGAGAGGATCGGCCTGCACGCCAGCACCTTCGACAGCATCGACGGCGACGAGGCGCCCGCCCGTCCACCCGCCGACCATTCTGGGGCCGCGCATTGATAAATCAGACCGTCGGATGGATTGGATTCGGGGTGACTGCACGGTTTTGAGTCTTGGGTCATTCTCCGAGGAAGGACATGTCGGGCTATTGGGGCTCCCGAGGACCCAAAGCCGTGCGCTGGCGGACGGCGCGGTGAGGTCTCCTGGGATTCCGGGGTCACCGCACGGTCTGACACCGCCCCGTTTTGGGCCCTCCAAGAAGCCCAGAGCCCCTCGAGTCGTGAAAAAAACGACGGAAGGTTTCTTATTAATTTCGACCTTTGGGAACCTTCGCCAGGCCTCGGGACCGTCAAAAACGACTCGATTTTCAAATCCCTCCCCCAAGAAGGGGTGTCCGGACCTCTGGGGTTCAAATTCTCGCTCCGCGTGACCCAGGCACCGAAGCACCGAAGAGGAGGAGGAGGGGGAGGAGGAGGAGGAGGAGGAGGAGGAGGAGGAGGAGGAGGAGGAGGAGGAGGAGGAGGAGGAGAGGAGGAGGAGGGGAGAGGAGGAGGAGGGAGGAGAGGAGGAGGAGGAGAGGAGGAGGAGGAGGAGAGGAGGAGGAGAGGAGGAGGAGGGAGAGGAGGAGGAGGAGGGAGGAGGGGGAGGAGGGGAGGAGGGGGGAGGAGGGGGGAGGAGGGGGAGGAGGAGGCAAGCTAGGTGCGCTCGCGTCATATCTGACGTCCTACCCCTCCCTCCATCCCTTACCATGGCGCTGATTTTCTCTATCCGCGGACGCGTGTCGTAGCGGACCTGTGGCTCCGCGCGCGCGTGCGTAGTGGGTGGTGGTGCGCGTGCGTGCGTGCGTGCGGGTGTGTGCGTGGTTGTTGCTGGTGCTGGTGCTGGTGCTGGTGCTGGTGCTGGTGCTGGTGCTGGTGCTGGTGCTGGTGTGTGATGGTGGTGGTGGTGGTGGTGGTGGTGGTGGTGGTGGTGGTGGTGGTGGTGGTGGTGCGGCGCGGTGGTGGCGGGCGGATGGGCGCGCGAGAAAGAGGCCCGCGCTGGGGCGAGAACGCCATCCTGAACGACGGAGGCCAAACACCGATCCGAAAATGAGGCCCACGCTGCAGCGGGAGCACGATTCGGAACGATTCGGGAGCAGAAATGAAGCCGGCGCCTCAGCGAGAGCAGCATTTTGAAAAAAACGCAGCGAAAACCCGTTTCCCGGGAATCCTGTGTGTAAAAAAACAGTACGCGGGGGGGGGTCGGATACCTTCGGGACGCATCAGGGGAAGTGGGAGAGTATTTTCAATTGGTAGGTTGTTGGGGAGGAGGGGAGGAGGGGGAGGAGGGGAGGAGGAGGGGGAGGAACGGGCGGAGAAGGGGGAGGAGGGGGAAGAGGAGGAGGAGGAGGAGGAGGAGGAGGAGAGAAGAAGAGGAGGAAGAAGAGGAGGAAGAGAGGAGGAAGCAGAGGAGGAAGAAGGGAGGAGAAGAGGAGGAAGAAGAGAGGAAGAATAAGAAGAAGAAGAAGAGAAGAAAGAAGAAGAGAGGAGGAGGAGGAGGAGGAGGAGGAGGAGGGAGAAGGAGGGGGAGGGGGAGGGGAGGGGGAGGGGGAGGGGGAGGGGGGAGGGGGAGGAGGAGGAGGAGGAGGAGGAGGAGGAGGAGGAGGAGGAGGAGGAGGAGGAGGAGGAGGAGGAGGAGGAGGAGGGAGGAGGAGGAGGAGGCGGCGGCGAAGGCGGAGGAGGAGGAGGAGGAGGAGGAAGAGAAGGAGGAGGAGGCGGAGGAGGCGGAGGAGGCGGAGGAGGCGGAGGAGGAGGAGGGAGGAGGAGGGAGGAGGAGGGAGGAGGAGGGAGGAGGAGGGAGGTTAGGTTAGGTTAGGACAGCCCCGAGGGGAAGAGTCTCGCAAGACTAAAACAATGGGGGGAAGTGGCACCCCTCGGAGAGGGATTTGTTACCCTGGAGGACAGAGCTCCCCACACTCTGACCAGGGCCCGCGACGGGGTGCCACGACCCAAAACTACCCCTCAGCCTGGAGGGCCTCCTTGGCACGCACTCGCTCTGCGAGGGCGGCCATCCGTCTCTCGTACTCAGGGACGGTGGGGGCACTCGAATGGGCCGAGGGAACAGACGTACAAGCAAGAGTCTTAGAACGCGGCTTGGGGACCACAGACATTGCAGTGACCGCAGCAGCTCTATCAATCAATTGACGGACACGACTACTGGAGCCCAGGCCTCGCGAGTACTTACTTAATACCTCGCGACCCTTCCAAGAGGGTCGTTGGCACTCCTTGCCAAGATTACGGGAGCACCTCTGGGCCCAACAGCCGCAACGAACACACAGAAACTGAAGCCGATTCATCTTGGCTTGCGATGGCTCTGGGGCTCTGGGGTGGATCTCGTGAGAGGCCACACCAACTATCAGGTGCCCCAGGGAACGGCGGACGACCTGACGAACGAACTCGGGGGCCCCAGAGCAACCCAGAGCCTCTTGGGGGGTACCCTCATGGGCGACCACCAGACAATGCTTGCACTGCATACCAAGCGGTCCACTCTCCCACGCATGCCACCCAGGAGCTGACTTTACAGAACGGTGACGGGCAAAGGGCCTGACACGCTTCGCTCGGGACTGGAAGGCTGGTAGCACACTAGCTGCAAGCTTGACAAAATACCTGGCGGTCTCTACTTCAGACTCTAAGCGATTGGCTGCTTCGGGTCCGATGGGAGCGCGCATATTGAGAGCCTCCTTGGCGTGGAGGTCAGCAGCGCGGTTACCTTTCGCAGGCGCCCGCTCCACAAGCGGCAAGTTATCTATCACGCCCTCGCTTCGATGCGCCTTCACATGCTGGATGGACCTGATGTGGCCGTGCCCACTGAGGGAGCGGGCGAAGGCCGAGACGCCAGCGAAAACCTTGCTCGCACGAAGCTGTTCGTGCTCAGGAAGGAGGGCCTGACTTATTGCTGCTTTACAATCGGCATGCATGTAGGAACTGCGATCAGCGATCTGACAAGCGACAGCAATCGAGAAATGTTCAGCCATCGCGGGGGACTGCGGAAATCCTCCAGGCACAGCGCCACGCACTACCGAAAGGGTAGCCTCGGCCTGGGGGGTCAAACAGTACTACCGCATACGCAGCACGCTGAAAACAAGACAAAATCGGCATGGTGCTGCTTCCGTCCACCGCGATGTGTAGGTTATCGCTATGACCGACGAATTGCACAGAATTCTCGGGCTCCAGATCGGGAAAAACCTCCCCAAAACCGTCCAGGACCATGGCCTCGGGGGCACCTTTGACAGGAGGGATATCCCCTGGGAGCACCGAGACGACACCTTTCAAATGGAGTAAGCTTCCAGGGTCCTCCCGAGCTTCGTCCAGGGAAGCCAAAGGAACTTCTGCCTCCTCGCGGGCCTGGGCAACAGCTGGGAGCTGGCAGCAAAAAAGCCGATGGTGGGTGGTGTCAGGCTCACCGCATTCACATCGGCCTGCTCGGAGGGTGACATAACCACTGCCATGTGCAAGCTGTTCCGTCCACAAGCAGTCGCAGACAGCAGCTTGAACTAAATATTTATGGTACTTGTTATACTTAGTCTTGGACCTGAGGCAAAACCTAACCACGTCCAGGTTGGCCCTAACTCCTTCAGCAAACCCCCACTTCTCCCCATGCGACTTCTCATGGGCAGCCTGGAACGCGGTGCTGAACATTTTTCCTAGCATCGCAGGAGAGCATTGCGTGAGCTGGATGGTGGTGCCATCCTGGTTGACCCACTCAGTGGCTGAAGCAGGCTTCCACCTTACGCGAGCAAGGCAAAGCGGGATCCTGGAGATCGGTCCGCGAGTTTGAGCCCAGGAAATATCCGACTGAGCCTGGGAAAAAACGCGGTCCCACATACGTACTAATTCAGTTAGGCCGGCGAGTGCATCAGACGGAAATGCCACAGCATGCCATATCATCTCGGACCACTGGAGTGCGGGTGCCATGGCCTCACGCACCGCGGGCTCGCCGTGCAAGGCCAGCTTGGCGCGCAAGCTCGCGCCCCTCGTCGCGGGCGCCAGGTGGGACATGGGCTGGCGGCGGATGGCGAGCAGCTCCTGGTCGTCGACGCCGTTGACCTCGACCCCGTAGTGAGCTGCCATCTTGATTCCAGTGGTGTAGACTCTTCCAAGCCTCTCATCGGCTTCCCTCATGGACTTGAGCTTGGCCGCCTTGGCCAGGCGCTGGGAGGACTTCCGCAAACGCATCTTCCTCTTGCCAGCGGTGCGGGCTTGCCCCCGTCGCCGTCCACGGGCGAAGTCCGTGCCGAGGTAGGCGACCGTTGGTTTGGACTTTTCTTTGGCGAGGCCGAGCTTTGTGGTCACCTCCATGCCAAGGGCACTATCGCTGACCACGACGGCGACCTTATCATTGAGAGTGGCCTGAAGTCGTCGCGAGACTGCTTGGAACTGCACACCCGCTTGGATCGCAACGCCTGCGACGATGTCTCGGTCACGGCCGCTCACGTGGACCCCAGTGTCGTCAATGTAGCTCATGAAATCGATCGACTGGTTGCGGCACACAAACTGGTCATACTCTGTGATCGTGAAGGCTCGAACCGCAACATCAGCAAATGCACAGCCTGCTGGTAGCCCGAACGTGGCGAACAAGACTGTGCAGCTGTGGTGCAGGCCCAAGCGAATGATGCGCGGTGGCTGCCACGTGTTGAAAATTAACTTGGGAATCGGCATGGGCATGCCGCAGGCAAGGAGGCGACCACGTAACACCTCCAGCGGGATGCCCTCGTAGAACTTGCTGTAGTCCATCAGAATCAGAAGGCTGTAATTGTTCTGGCTGACCTCAGCCTCACTGCGCGCAGCCTGCAACCAAGACAGATCGAGTGCACTACGGCCTGCCAGGGCGCCCCAGCACGGGCGGCGCAGCTGCTGGTGAAGGCCATCGAGGTCACGGCGACGAAGCCTCTGCCAGACACGGTACATGCCCGAGTACAATATTATCAGTCGGTGGCCCTGGTCAGGCTTAGCCAGCATGGGCATGACAATGAAGCA